AAAGAAAGAATACCGTTCTGTTATCAACCCGGTACCCCTAGCTGTTTTATTTCCTTCCATCTTATTTATCCATATCTGTGGTGTGCCTATCAGTTAAAGTCGTGCCTACCATTTATCCTTAAAGAGTGTATTCATTTAAAGGAACGTCCACATTTCGTCCAGTTTTAGGATAAGAGAAGACTGTATAATGGTCAATAAATTTGATGATGTCTTAAGGTTTGACAAAGACATTATCCAATGTGATATATTGTGTGATGCCTTATCATCGGATATATTTTATAAACGGATTTTAACAGTAGTAATATGACGGGTGTCACTTGTGGATCAGAAACTGCTGGTCCTACGTTAGGCATCCTAACCTAGACCCTAAGTTTGCCCAAGTTTAGTGGAATATGCGTTGCTCAATCTTAAATTGTAAATATGTGTAGTGTTTTATTGATTTGGTTTTTTTTTTTGTCGTTTTTTTTTAGACCTTGATATTGTCTTGTTTTTCTTCTGTATTTTTTTCTAAATTATCATTTTCATTCTCTGCAGAGTTTGTACTAGTATTTTAATCAAAAGTCAAATGAAATGTCAACAAATTAAACGAAAAAAAAAACGTTTTTTGTATTATCAAAATTGTAGAAATAAGCAAGAAAAATAGCAATTAGCTTGAAAATGAATTTCACATCTTCTAAATGCTAGAATTTCCTGTTCCAATCCATACAAAGTTTTAGGAAAATCCATATTACTAGCCATGACCACCCCTTAAGGACATTTTATCATGTAATGAGTTTAGTTTGTATAAATTTAAACAATGTTGTAATATTTCAATACATGTTTTTGGTTGGGAAGGGGGGGGGGGGGGGGGGGGGGGGCATCCAGATTTTGCCGAATGTAAGTGGGTTATTCCTGCTCCATTGAAGTACATGTGGTAAGCACTCAATTTCTTTTTGTATTACATTTAGTGATTTGGTGTATAAATTAAATTAATGTTTTAAAATATGAAAAGTTTGCCGCTATTTTTAAATCGTGTGCTTGTTTTACGTCGAGAAGTGTCAAACAAACGCAGACGTTAAAAAATATTTTAAAACATGCACCCCATAAAAGATAACCGATTTGAATCTTTTTCATAAATTCTCTTAGTGTTTTATTTTCAAAAAAATACAGATACATACATCTATTACAAATTGTTACTAAAATACAAAAAGGGACAGATATAAAACAAAAAAGTGAGTGTCGATTTACTTCGAGAAGTGTCTACGTCAAACAACACAGACTTTTTTTCACATAAAAGATAAATCGTTCCGAACCTTTTCTTAATGTTTTATTTTCCAAAAAAGCAGATGATTATATGATTAGAAATTGCAAATTAAAAGAAAAAAAAAACCAAAAGAGTGAACGTCGATTTAGTGTAGTGGTACCTGTGCTATTAACACGAGGCAGATCAGGTGCTTATGGATCACATGAAGAAATCAGTCCACAAATAAGTGAAAATTACTGTATTAAAGTTTATATGCTGTTGTGCAATATCGTAGAAAGGGAAGTAACTGCGACGTATAGACGTCCTTCTCTTCTCTAGAAAAGCATATGAAAATAGCTGCAGAGCACACTTGGGCTGATATGACAGCCACATGGGTGTTCTAAAACTATGTTTGCCCCCCCCCCCCCTCCTTTTCCATGCTACACCACGCTTCATCCGATATAAATATGAATAAGTTTAAAAGATGTGAATTAAAACCAAAGCTATAAAGCCACTCTGACGTCGTCTATGTTTCCGTGTTTTTTTTAAATGAGAATATAGTACCGCTTGCAATGCACTGTTGGCCTGAGACAATCATGGGTATCTTAGGTTCTCTTTGACTTGATACTTCCGAAGTTTAATATGTTTTATAATGATTAAACTTTAATCTCACAATCAACTGCATCACGCCTAACCCTATAAACATTTGAAATTCACTATGTAAAGCTGTTGTTCAATTTGTTAGGGTAATTCAAATGACACAATTTTAAATCAAGCTTGCTAAAATGGCCAAAACTAGCCTACAAAATAAAACAGAGTTGTGCTAAGTGAGGCATAATAAAAAATGTTATCGCCAAATCTTATAGATATAGTTAATTTAAACTTTGTTTCAGTAACTTACCAAATGCGAGTTGAAAAGCTACTGATTTCTGTTGTATGGCGATATTGCTTTCAATAGGAACCATGCATGCAATAATTTCTTTATTGAAAGTATATATTTCCTAGGACTCATTATATATGCGATTTGAGATATTATTGATGCTATATTGAGTTGAAACGGAACAATATTCAAGTTTTGTTCGATTCGCCCATTGTAAGTTTTGTTTTCTGAGATGTTTTCATAGTACCATTGACATAGCTAAACATAATATGAAATGGTTGTTCCTACTTTTCAAAGGTAAAGAGTGTTCTAATGAGTTAAATTAGGGCGATGTGAGAGCTCAATTCAAGCATGCATGTATACAAGCTTCGCAACTGGACACGGCCAATATTTCATTGTTATCGGCTCGCGATTATATAGAGGCCATCCGATCTAAGTCGTATAAAGGTGCCTTATTCATGTACAAGTGTCAATTAAATATATAAAAAAAAATCTAACAATTACCGACTATACCTATACTCTATTATGCGAAATTGGATATTTACCTTACAAACCATTGTATACATGGAACGTTAATTATACCTTACTATATACCATATAATTTCTTCAATATATGTAGTTCGTCGGTAAGGTTGATGTGATACATATCTGTATATAGAAATGGAAAAAATCAGAATGTTATTCATGGGATCTTGATTATGGGACAAATTACCAGAATTTATGTATCAGAGGTGAAATAAGATCTTTTTTTATAAACCGGCGTTGTATCTGTCTATATCATCACTAAAACTTTAAAATATATAGATGACGATTATGAATGTATCTTAATAAAAACGTTCAACCTTGCATATATATACAAAATTCAATTGCACAAGTCTAAATTGAAAACAACGTTCAAACCTATGATTGCGTTGGATAAAAACCGCAATTTTTATACGTGTGCATGCAAAACAAATTTCTTGTTAGAGGGGTCTAAATACAGCACAAACAACATTTTCCAAAAGACCAAAAAAATGAAAAAGTATATTTTAACAAAACGCATTTGAATAACAGGTCGAACAACAAATGTTCTTAAACCCTGCTGACTGCCATTGGCGATTGCCAAATAAACGGATCACCGATGTAATAAATGGATCTTAATTATGAATTTAATACTAAACAGAAAACAATAAACTTGCGGAAAAGATGATATACCGCAAACAAAAGGTGCAAAGGTTTTTGTACATGTGCCATATCCGGATTTCGACAATTAATGTCTCTTCAGTGATGTTAGGAATCGAAACGGTATTTGGAAAGCCATACAATTTACCTCAATCTAGGATAGACTCTTGAATTTTGAGGAGTCAAAATAGGATGGACGGATCATATAAACCCGAAGGCAAATATAATACAAGCCCAAATGAAAAATATAAACAAGTCTAAATTGAAAAGAAAATTCAATTGCATATATGTAATTTAGCTGCATATTTAAAAATATGATAACCGTTGAATATCGCATTTCTGTGTCCTTTTCTCTTCTATGAAATTCGTCCAGCAACACAGGCATTTGAGGTATATATCCACCCTATTTTTTTCTGTCGATTAATAATATTTTCAATAAAATTTCATTATTATTTCAGATTAGTTTCCTCTATCAAACGAACCACTTTGGTGGTCTCGTTGTAGCTTGCCTTCTTTGAGTGAGGAAGCTCGTCTGTTCAATGCCTGGTCCGGTCAAACCATAAACTGGAAAATTTAGTATTTGCTGCTTCTCTGCTAAAAACGCGGCATGAAGATATCAGAATAATGTGTCCGGGTATAAAATTTAGTATTTGCTGCTTCTCTCTGCTAAACAAGCGGCATGTAGATATCAGAATAATGTTATCTTAAGAACTAGCAAGTTGAATATCCGAATCAGTGTGCCAGTCTAGTAAAAAGCAGGGTTCAAATTCACATCGCATTATCATGTTCTCGTCCTAAATAAGCATGTGATATTTGCCACTGGATGTTAAACAGCAATCCATTCATCAATCCCGTTTTAGCGTGATGTTGCTCATACCATCACCACAATTTAACTTTCATAGAAGTTTACGCAGCCCTTTTTCTATAACTGCTTTCAATGTAGGATTACATTGGTCCATGCATGAAGCATCTGTCCAACAGTAGAACACACATCTGATATTCATAGACTTGATAATGCCCCGTTACCAAGTGAGGTGCATCTTTTTTTTATTTGGATGTTCTCTTACTTTTAAGGGGGTTGATTTGTATGCTTATTAATATTACTCTGTTGGATCTACTTATCAAGAGCCAATACAACAGAACTACGTCGAATTCAATCTGAAAAGCTTTTTGACTGTTAAAGCAAACTTTGTATTCGTATAAGTTTTGAGCTTTCCAAATGCAGAGGTTTGTTTGCTTCTTAGTTAAATGAGTACAGTTGCTTTAAATCCGTCTTTCAAGTTTACCTGATATGCACGAGACAATTACATTGTCATCCTATATATACGAGAAATCAAAGTATGCTTAAGTATTATCTAGTTTTGTTTAAAGTGGTTTCACATTCACATCAGTTAAGTGTAATATTTCCTAACAGAGCTAAAAAAAAATGCACGTTGCCATTTAAAACTGTTAAACAATATGTTAAATTATTGTAAAACATGCTTCCTGGTTCATACTGCAAACACCATTCTGTTTAAAAAAAATAAGTAAAAAATATCCATTTTAAACAGAATTTTACGAACACAGATTACATGTAGTACACCTGTTTATCCGTATATATAATATTGTAATATTGTAAAACATCATACATGGTATTAAGTATGAAACTTATGAAATTAATTTTTTGTCATAACTGTAACAGGTGGAACGATATTACATTATTGATTTTGCCCCAGAGATTACAATTGATACACATTGGTCCTTATCTTCCCGGAGTCAATGCATGAAATTTTAGCGATCAAGTAAGATTGTTTCCCTTTGCTAAGAGTTGGAGAAAAAAAGACTAAATCACAAAATATAGATATAGTTGAAAAGATATTACGTTCAAGTAGAGACAGATAAAATATTCGTATACAAATTTTTTGACGTAAACATCTTCTAAGCCAATCAGCTAACAGAAGCTAGGAGCAAATTCAGGTTGGATATTATAAGTCAGCACGGTAAGACATTTTCATTTCTTATTTTCGATGCTTTAAATGAAGCTAAACCAATACTCCAAATCATACTTAAAGAAATATTTTTTTTTACAGACTAAGGGATGAATCAGAAGGGTGAAAATAATGAAAAATATGCGAAAAATTTAACTACTTCATGTCAATTCATGTTAACAGGGAAAATGTGTTTGATTATATGTATCATTTTTTTTATAATTCGGTACTTGATGTATACCTTACAAAATAAACATTTTATTTTTTGTTACTGGAAAATTTCTGTCATATCCATGGTGAGCAGATCCCTATTCTCCTTACCACGCCCTTGTGAAACGGGTTGTAGGTTTCATTACAATTTTTAAACGACTTTTTGAACTTAAGTTTCGATTTTAATAGAAAATTCAATAATGTCAATTAACTGTGTTTATTTTAATTGCCGTCGTACCATTTTCTATTATCAAGATCATATTATAGACAAGAATAGTTTGAAAATATGTCGGACATACTCAAAATGGTGGATTGATAGTTTAAATGAAATAAATACAAGTAGATGATACTACTATTAAAAATAAATTGTCACAGCTTAAATTTCACTTCATATATAATTCATAATTCTGCATACATGTATATGATTGACTGTTTGCAAAATGTTCATTATTATTATTTTAACTCCCAATTTTCTTTGAATGTGTTATGTTTTCAATCCATATACCTAAAATTGTCGGAAATGTAAAAAAAATGAATTTATAATATATTTTCATGTGTTTAATCAATGAATTAATATCCTCTGAAAAACGTGGAATACATATTAAATTCCTATCTAATTAATTATGCAAAAATTGTCGATTTTTATTGCTACGATACCAGACCCCAAGGGAAATTTTATCACGGATGATCTCTATCCATCATAGTTAGATATATGTCGATTTCTGACTAATATCTGTAAGCTGTGATCAGATTATGAAATGTACATTCCGGAAGATGTAAGTTTCGATAGATTCGGAAATACACACTTTTGACTATTGTTTTCCTGTTTCTTTTTTTCTGTTTTGTGTGTGTATATATATGTCCTTTATGAAACTAACAGCAGTATAATTGTACAATGGTAAATTTTCCAATGCATATATAGTTAAACCATAGATGTATATACATCTATGGTTAAACCTTGGAGTAAACCAAATTTTCACGTGTTGATAACGCTATACTTCCAAACACTTGCCTACAATAGGAACTATCATCCCCTTCAGGTGCATGTATAAGATGAGATGTAATTAGCTGACTATTGGTTTCTCATTGTGTTTCCCCATGATAGACAACCGCAGTTTTCAGCAGCCCCTTCGGTTAATTAGTGAACGAAGAGATGTAAAATTCATTAAAACATGTTAAAACTATAGCGGAATGAAGACGAGCCCGGCATGTATTAGTTATCTTATCTTCCTGGCGCGTGGCAAATAAGATAAAGATTGTATCTTGAAAGTTTCTATTCTCTTTGAACTTATTCCTCTTACATTTACTAGAAATATTTTCATTAAGATATAAAATCTTGATGTTAAGATTTAAGAAGGAAAAAAATCCAAACTATCTCTACTAACATAAAATAAGAAATTTGAACTTTAAACTATAAAGATATTTTTGTATTTGTTTATTTTTCACAAGTTAAACAATTACTTTCAATGCAAAATTGAAACAACTATAAGTCTATTAGGAAATCAAAATATGTGTCCACCAATATTGACATATTAAGATAAAGAATTAAGAGTCACTTAAGATTTGTGACTAAATTCGACAACATTATTTACTTACTTATTCTTAAGTACTTTACACAATGAAAAATGACATAGATTTATTAATGATTAAATTCGCGTGTGTATTTGAGCATTAAATCTTATCAAATTTCTTACTTAGGGACATATACGTGTTTAAACATATCCAGGCGACATACAGTATAGTAATATATACACGTTATTTAATATTATATATATAGAATTGACGGGTTCAGTAAGTTTATGCATGTTAAAACTCAAGAATGAACTGTTAAGTGAAGTCAGCTATAAATAAAGATGTATACTTGTATACTCGCAATACTGCATACGATTATAATTACAAATAAGCAACTTATTGGAATTTTTAAATTGACTGAACTTTTCAGCCGTTAGAATTTTCATATTTTATATACAGCAACATTCTGACTGTACATCATTTACACCACATTTTAAAATGCCATTGCAAATCCAACACCCGTAAATAAAAAAAAACGCGTGTGGATTTACTTTTCCTTTATCGCTCCAAAAGAAATACTGAACGAGGTTTCATTTACATCTTATAACGCGCTAGATTTCACATGACTGAAAAGAATATCTGCTATACACAACTACCCACGGTCCGGTCGAAATGGGGTTTTAAATCCGTCTAGTATAGGAAGAGTGTCTAGCTCTTTGCACGTTAAAGCACCTTGCAACAACTCTATGAGGGGTCCGTAGATGGCCTGTTGCACGGCAAAATTTTTGTCCCTTTTCAACATGCCTTCATTTTTCAGTGTCAGTCCAAATTTACCGCCCTTTATCCTGGTCGACCCCTACCAAGTAGATCCTACTTATTGTATTCTTTGTTAATTTTTTCTTGTCCTGAACAATGCACGATATATTTGCCACTGGATGTTTAGCAAATAACAATCAATCGCTCAATCAATCAGCTATTAATGTACGATAACAGGTATCCAATTTCACCATGAATACAATTCCTAAAGAATTTTGTATAATTAACTTTCAATTGTATTTTCAACCGCGATGTAAGCTCTCGATAATTGTACCCATTAAACATTTTCCATTATTTGTATTTTTTAGAAAAACTTGAACAATGTCGCAAGATCTTCTGGACATTGAGGATATTGTACGAAAATGGGCATTGGATTTTCCACTCGATAAGGCTCAGAAAAAGGATGCTGATGATATACATTCCTCAGATATAAACTGGCAAAATGTTAGAATTACCCATGGCAAAACGGACTATTTTGACGAAATACATGCGACCAAGCCAAAATCCCACATTTTATTTTCTGCATATTTTACAAACGACACTGATCAATCACAAGTGTATTCCCTGAGAACGGAGCGTAGGACACAATCCACATGTTCTCTGTCTCTTGAAAAGGGATATACCTACGGGTGCAGTGTAGACATAAAACTTACACCACCAAATCCCGTAATCGAAGCAAACGCGGGATTTCATGGAGAACTGAGTTTAACCAAAGCAAGTGAAGAAACTTTTGAGGAGGAGCTAACTTGGTCTATAGACAATCAGATTAGCGTTCCGCCAAAGTTCAAAACCAAAGCAGAGCTAGTGATCAAGGAGGACGATTACACAAGCCATTTCAAAACAGAATCGCAATTTCGCGGGAAGGTACACGTGACACTTCGGAATAAGAAAGACAATTCTCCTATTACTACAATTACAGGAGATGTTAAACAAATATTCACGAAAGATAAGGGATTCCGAGTAGACAAAACTGGAATATATTATGTGACTGAAGGAAGATGCAAATGCAGATTTGGAATAGAACAACATGTGTGTCTTAAACAGGAAAAACTTATACCAGCCGAGGCAACAGAAGACTAAGAAAATAGTTGGCACAAGGATAAATAAGACTTGTGTAGTACAATAGTAGATCACATAGAAGTAGTATATTCATGCGAATATGGAAGATTGACTACAGTTTATTAAGGGACTTAGGTATTTAACATATACTGTAACATGTATGATACGGAATATTCAAAAGAAAAACGAATGTAAGTTGTTATGTGTTTTAATATCCAAAGAGGTGACCATTAAATATCTAGATTCTTAAATGTCTTTTTTATCTTATTTGGAAGTTACCTTTTCAGCATAATTAATAGCTTTACGCTACTTATTGATGAATAGTCTAGTTGCTGAATGTCTTTATTAAAGTACTTTATTAGAAATGACTCATTTTAAAAACGATATTGTTACTATACTGCAACAAACGTGAAATGACAATCATTTTATAAAAATAATGAACCATACCAGAATCTGTAATATGATTGTGTATGCTAATACGGGATGTCACTTACAATATATTACTTCATTTTCCATACAAAATCATTTGTTTCATTGTCATGTCTGGCGCAAACTAAATAATTATTATATTGATTTTGCCACTTTCTATAATCCTATGAGAATTCTAGTATCTAATATCCTCCGATTGCATCCTATTATTACATTTTATCTTAAAAATAATCTTCACAGGAGAAATGGAAATAAGATAAAAATGTAATCAACAGCCTTTTATCACTTTAAACTACTTTACGGCTGGCATTGCTGACTTATAGGATCGCAGAATTATCAGACGATACAATATTCTGATACATATTGATGTTACACCTGCTGTACAGTGTTAAGAGCACGGATATCAGAGTTATGTCTGTTTTATAGGCACATAAATTGCTGTGACAGAGTAGAGGAGTAGGATAATTTAAGGGATATCTTTTAGTTTCCGCAGTAAGTCCGAAACCGATTAGCCAAACATATAAATAATTATGACCTCCGAAGTTATTATTCATCAGTTTCTGTTGAATTTCAGCATATAAACTCTCGAAATTAAAACATTTCCATCTAGTATTCACAACACGGTTTTTTTTGTTGTTGTATTTTTAACTAATTTTGACATCACTTTTTCAAATAAACCTATTGGAATGAAACAAATAAATTTCATTCGTTCTTTCTGTATATAACATATCAATTAGTCTGCTAACATCCCAGCTTAACAAGTATTAACAGAAGGCTCTATGTTTAGCACAAATGACTTTTTTTGGTCAAGTCGTGGGAAATTCTAAAACCTAATACCATATGCTAAAATATATCAAGCCTTCAAATATAATTTTTAGGATCTTTCATCGAAGTAAAAGAGATAAGTTGTTCATCTCCTCTGTTCTGATAATTGGTATTGCAGTTAACCTAACAGTTATCTGGGGATCATCTGTTTTAATTCTGCTTCCATAAAAGCAGCAGTGCTGGCCTGTTGTTGAAATCCAAGAAAAAAAGACAATAAAACTAAAGGTGATTTGGTCTATGCTTGGTTCCAACAGACCTAATCACTTTTTTAAATGTATCTAGGGCTTGGGTATAATGGTCCAACACAGCTAAACTGAACATTGCAGCTCAGTGTGACTCTACATTGAAGGCATGTGAATAAGTGATTTAACTTGTCTTTACTTGTGTATGAGATTTATCTGACATACCTGTGATCGTTTATAGTGAATGATGGAACATAAACTTCCTTTTACAAGAAAAAAAACATATGTACAATTAGCACATTAGCAGGAAACCTCTACTGTGCATTCCATCTGATTATTAGTACTCTAACATTCATATCATGTTTGACATAAATATCTACCTTATAGAGTAAGTTCTGGAAGTTCAATCATATCATTATGATAATTCTAGGTTCTATCAATGTTATGTTAACACAGTTATTGTTTTAACCGATCGCGTCAAGCGGTACCCGTGTCATAATGGAATCACTTCGGTGTTTTCTTTATTATCTTTTACGTCAAACTTTATGGTAATCTGCAACATCCTTCAAAATGGTATCGTTTTTATAGTTTAAGGGAAAAGATGGCTCATCAAAATCTTATTTGCATCTACATCTTTGATAAATACTGTGGATTCATTTATTTTCGTGGGTACCAATTTTCGTGGATTGCTGAAAACTTGCCTTTTCGTTGATATGTGATTTTGTGGTTTTGCCATATTCTGCATACAACCTGATAGAAAATTTATAATTCGTTGAGCATTTAAATTCGTGGTACACCTGTATCCACGAAAACCACGAAAATTAGTATCCAACAAATAATAATGAATTCACAGTATATCTTCAGGCATTGCTGTTGTTAAAAGTTTTAGTACTATCATATTTCATGATCAATGTCAGTTTTCCAGAGAACCAGAAATATAGTTTGCACAACTACAAGTAGGCTTTTATTGTCCACCAGCTATGCTAGATATAATTTAATAAAGTGAAAAGCTAGTAGTCATGACCAACTCGTAAAATGCTTATACTGAAAGTGTTATTGTAAATGCCATTATGAACACAGTAAAATTGATACTTTTTGGAGAAAAATAGGCAGAATGGTTGGATGATATTAATTAATATTTTAAAGATTAAAAAGGTTTTTGAAAATGTTACAAAATGCTTTATCTCACTCTAGCCTTTTGTGTCATGTAAGGCAAGACAGGCCATTTTCAGTGATGGTCTATAATGTATTGTTAAAGTAACAGCAGTACCATCATATTTTTTCTGGTTAAGCAGAGACGTTAGAATTATAATTCTATAAGAAGACTATTTTAGGATTATTCCAGCCAATAATGGAACGATTTGGTGACATCCACATTGTTAATTAACAAAAAGTGCTAAAATTCTCTTTGTTGTAACTGTGGACATTTTGTCTGACAAGCAGTAGGCAATACGTATTTTGCTTTGACAGAATCAATAAAAGAACATTATATTTGTTTCTAATAAAAATTGAATGGATGAAAGTTTTGGAAGTGTTGTATCATTTGCCTGTATATGGTAACAACTTCAATGTCAGTTGTAATAGGTGAATGCATGAAACTGAATTTTACCAGAAATGTTCAAAGTATCATTCATGTGATGTTTTTAGTACAATTCATTTTTGTAATTCAGATAAATAAAATTGCAATAACTTTTATGATCCTACAAAGTGTGCTTAATATACTTCAAAACAATCTATAGAAATAAGAATCTCTAAAACAACAAAATTTTAAAACATTTTATTGCACTACTAATGTAAGTGTATAACAGAATTTAAATCATCATAAATATGTTGTTTGAAATATTGTGCTATAGTTGTTCAATTATTTTCATATTCATAGCTGTGACAAATTTTAAATAAGGTAAAATATTTCATACTAACGTACTAAGGCAACATTAAATTGAACCAATGAAAAGGAGGAAATGTGCTATAAATTAAATTCTTTTCAAAATAAAGTGATTTTTATATAAAAATAATTGATAAGTATGTGCAAAATTTTAACAGTAAGGTCTTTCAAGTATAATGAATATATATTTGTCAAGATTTTATAGTTGAAAGATAGCTTAATTAATTTTCTACAATAATGACATATAGTTTACTCATATTTGTCAATTGGTAACATCAAATGCATGCAAGTTCCAAATAAATATTTACAATTAATGTGTTGTTCATATAAACAATCACTGCAGTAAATTATTTAATTGGTACCTTCATGCTCTCTATATCTTCATGATTTCATGATGGATTTTCCATGATGTCCTATCAATTGTAAAATAAAATGGATCTAAAGCTACATATTTTTAGTTTTTTTATTACCTAAACTTTAAAATTTAAGATAAATTAAAAAGATAAATGGGAATCTTGAATCAAAATGCCAAATTTTAGTAAAAAAATGGTCAAATAATTTTATATCTAACCCTGTACTTTTTTGTGTGAAAATTCATTAACTAAAACTTTTGCACTTTTGTAAAACTCCAGTTACCATCTGGAAATAAAATCATTTAATTATGTGAATGAGAGTTATTCCAAAAATCACTGTGGAAAGAAATGAGTTATTTGGGATGGGTGTCGGAAAGCATTTTGAAATAATATTTGACTTGCATGTGATCCAAGGTTCTAGAAAACAGCCTCAAGTAATACAGGAATGAATCATAAAGTTTAAATCATTTAGGGATGAAATAGGAGCCATCAAACATCCCAATACATTTACCTCTTGTGCAGCTCGAACAAGCAACTGTGAAAAGTTTCATTATATTAAATATAGATATGGTTATGACACATAAATCTTCTTAATGTATACCAGTACCAATACTAGTACCTATACTTGTATAAATACAAATTACATATCTCATTAAATGCTGAAAAAAAAGCCTAAAGCAGCAAAACAGATCATAAATAACAACCAAAACCAAAGGTAACTAACTTTTTACAAGTGTTCTAAATGTAGATACAGAGCTCTATTAGCTATAAATGATTTGACTAGAAATTATCATAAGTTATATTGATTTATTTCATGTCAGAGTGCAATAATCTTTGTTTTTTAAGGTAAAAATTGATTAGAATTCTTTTTTTTCAATTACTGATAATTGACAAAGACAATATGCATAATGTTCTGTATCACAAAAATTGTATGTGCATATAATATCAATCTACAAAAAAAACTGGGTATCTTTTTTTAGTAAAAAGTAAAAATTTGAAGCATCCTGAAATAAAACTGATGATAATCATATGAAATGTTTAATACAAAAAACATGCAATTCACATAATAAAAATTAGTTTATACAATTTAACGTTAAAATAGTTAACGTCCTTTCTTTAGAAAGACTATTTTGACAATTCTTTCTTAAATGCAACAAATTAAAAATATGTTTTTATTGCAAAAATTTATATACACTTTTAGCATTCATGAAAAACAAAATGTAATATTATTATATATAAAAAGCATTACAATAAGTTCAACTTACATACAAAAAAGAGACAGTTCAAAAATTCAAAATACAATTATTTATCAGTCTATTTTTTTTTATATATTTATAGGCATGCGCAATACCTTTATCAAAATAAACTAAATAAAAGGATAACTAAGTTGCTAGAAATGAATAAAAAAAAAATGGTTTTGGTCCACAATAAAATTAAAATAAAGAACCTAGCAGTACAAGGAAATGAAAAACTAATAATTTTTTTCAACATTGAAAATTGTACAAAAAAGAGGGATTTTTTTTATCTCCAATTAGAATTGGTACAAAATGAGGTAGAAAATAAAGATTAAAACAGTGTGCCATAAAATAAATATAAAACAAAAGACAAGAAATTAAATTCAAATCAACTAAAAAAAACCTTCTTAAAATCAGTCATCTAGCCATTTTTACTATATATCAACACAAGGTTGTTTGATTGGTCATAACCCTATTAAAGTTTTTAAATTTTATTAAAACTGCAAAGGATTCTAACATGGCGTTCTTCAAACGCTTTGAGTACACACCCGTGGTAAAATATGAATATATTGTTTGAGCTGTTCTGATCGTACTCCCGCGTCATATGCTTTTTTATGAATGAGCTACCCGACGTCATAGAACGATGACGTAAGAATATAAGCATTTTACGGGAAAATACATGCTTGTGAAACCGAAAATCATCACAACAAGGAAACGTAAACAAACGATGCTATAATGTGTTATATAAGCCATTTTTTGTTTACATATAAGACATATAAATACAATTATCATTTAGATTCATCCAAACCTATCTAAATATGTCATTGTAAATAGTTTAAGCATGCCATTTATTCAGTTTGCTCCGTTCTTTTACGTCAATTTAATAGTGCGTTTATTTTTGGGAACGGCAAATAATGCCTTCACCTAGATAGCTTCGATCCAAAAGAATTGCCATATTTGTCCTATTAGAATCGAAATAATTCATGGGGGCTTGAATATATCGTGATTTTACCACGGGTTGTCCCTTTATGCCGATATTTTACCCCTCGCTATCGCTCAGGGTAAAATATTTGTCATAAAGTGCCAACCCGTGGTAAAATCACGATATATTCAAGCCCCAATGAATTATTTCTTAAATACAGCATTTCTAATAATATCACAGATACTTTGTTTTCATTCACAGCTGAGTTAATGTATAATTTAAAACTCAAAAGTATGTTTCACTATGGTAAACAAACAACCCTAAAAAAAAAATTTGTGAAGTCGACAATAGCACCAAGCATGTGAATAATTTATTGACTTGTTACAAAGCAGATATATTTTCTATGAAGATAAGACCTACATGACCCTACATATTCTCTAATTTCTGATTTAAACAAAAAATTCAACACCAAACATATATGGTATACAATAAAACATAAATGAATGGCTAAAGTTTAATAATATCAAATAAATAAACAGAATCAGATGATTTGTATATCTTGAAAAAATTTATATTGTATATTGTATATGTAAAAACTATTAAAGAATGTACTGTATGATGAATGAAGGTCATATGATTGGTTTGATTGACTTTTTAAAAAAAAAAAATCTGGTACCCTTTCTTATTATATTTGCATGGGCCTTGTGATATAAGAAAAAAGAGCCTTCCCCTTCTATAAAGTATATTGTACTATCATAAACTACAACCAGGATCAAATAAAAGTACAACCTTCTTTTTGCTAGTTAATTAAAAAATGTGTATATAAAAAAAAAAAACTTCTTTCTCAAAACAAAAGCATAAAAAACACAAAATTCCATAATATCTCCCAAAAAAACAATAAACTTGTATACAATTTGGAACTTAAAACAAAAATAGTTCCTTATAAAAATGCAAAAAATCCAATGTGCTAACTGCTGTGAAAAACAGTAGAAACAACAGTGTCAAAGTGATTTATTAAAACTGGTTTAATCTTCATTCTTCTTTTTTTTTGCAATTAGTGTAGTGTGGTTGATCTTAAAATTTCTAGTGAATTTGAAATAACTTTTTAGAGAACAATTGTGATCATCTCCCTTTATTTTTCTTCCTCTTCCTCCTCCTCCTCAGCAGTTTCCAATCCAGATTCTAGTTCAGGATACCATGACTTGTCTTGTGTCTTACTTAAAAACAACAGGACTCTATCTTCCTCTGCCTATAAATACAAGTAATGGGTTTGAAAAATTAAACACAAGTCACAAACTAAATTATGAGGCAAAACAAAATATATGTTTGTTTCAAATCACTGAACTCTTTACTCTTCACCACCCACTCTATCTAACAGTCATTTCAGAGATTTAATTGAGTTGTCTTTGTTACACAAACGTCCTCAAAATTAAAAAAAAATCTTCTTTCTGTGGAACACAACTAGCAGACGGTCACCAAAACATGAATGATGCAGTTTGTTGTTCCACAATTAAAGGGATCTTAAGAGATGGAAGGCAATTTTTCACATATTGTGCAGTTATCAAGTAATATATTTGGATAAATTTTTTTTGAAACTTAACACTGTTGTTGAAATTGTTAATTATAAAAGAAAGATCCTTTTTTGATTTTGAAAATTTTCCAATTTGACGTTCCAGAGTTATGGGACTTTAACCTCCACATTCAGAGCTATAATTTATATGTTCCTCACTAATTTGTGTAAGCTAGGATCAATTAACTACAAACTTTATATTGTTGTTGGGATTTGTATAAGTATGTCATATTTTATTGTGAAAAATTTGCAGATTTGCTTTTGCAAAGTAATGTTATATCAAATTTAAATCAATATTCCTGACAAAAGCTGTGATGTAGTTATTTGAAATTGATTAAACAAAGACAGCAACATAGACCATGATTTGAAACGAGCATTTCACTATTAAGTTGTTCACATTCTTTGTTTGCAGGTATTATATGTAATTGTTTACTATTTTTCCTCCATTATACATGCATACTATGAAATTTTCATTTTTCTTTCTTATACCACTATTTATGGTCATCATACTAAAGTATTTTTTAATATTGCTGATGATGATATCAGATCCCACTAAACCAATTCCCTTTGCAAGGTAGCTATAGTATTTTTTTTATTATACAACATGTATCATGAGATTGAAATCCCTCTTACCTGGATGTAGATCGATGTAGATATCATTTAGTCACCTGTCAATAAATTGAATATCTCACCTTAAAATAGCTCTTGTCTGGATTAATATCAAATGGTAGTTGTCTAACTTTAAGTATAAATAATTTTCCTTTCAGTGCTCCTTTTGCTTTTCCCTCTACTCTTAACAATAAACTCCTGCAATAAATTGTAATTATATTTCCATATCAAAAGTTTGTTTGTTTCATTTCCTTTTTATTGTCTAAAATCTAATGTTAAAAAATATTTTCAACATATAGAAATTCAACTAATAAGAAAGATTTGTTGTTTACAAGTATTGATTGTTTGTTGGTTGTTGTTTACAAGTATTGATTGTTTGTTGGTTGTTGTTTACATGTATTGATTGTTTGTTGGTTGTTGTTTACAAGTATTGATTGTTTGTTGGTTGTTGTTTACATGTATTGATTGTTTGTTGGTTGCTGCTTAAAAGCGCTTAATGACAATTTTTTTTATTTTATAAATATTCAGGATGAAAATAAGAAATGGGTCCCTCCCAAAAAAGAAAAAGCCTTACACAACCAATGACTTTATGACTAGTAAGACTAGATGAGAAATTAATTCTTTATGTATCTACATGTATAGCTGCTTTGTTGACCTGCTCATAACACAAATAAAGTTTTCTTGTTGAGATGAATTTTGAGATAAATGTCTTATGTATGACTAAATATTTGCCTCCAACCACTACTTACTGGATATAGGAGCCAGTAAATTGGTATTATCAACCATTAATTCTCCTGAAAGTTATTTATCAGGTCAGTTGTTTAGTGCTTTTCTTCTTGCATGAAATTACATGTACTTTGATTTTATGTATGAAATATAGATATTAATGTTTTTAAATTTTAGGGTTAACCTATAAAATGTAAGCAAAATTTTGTCCGGCAAGTACATAAAAAATTTAACATAAATTGTTACAGTAAAAAATTAAGACATTTTTCTAGATATAAATGAAGAAAATTGAGACTTAATGAACTGTTCCCTACGAGTACAAGAAATTTTTATATTTTCAGAAAAAAACAATTTATTGTTAACTGTTTTTATCGGACAGTTTATCATAGAAATTTATATGTTCAGGATTTTTAACTCCTAGTTAACATTGGAGTTTTTGATTTTAGAGAAACTGACAATGCTTAAATTGGAGACAGACTGCAAAATGGTGTTTGACATGATAAGAAAGTTATTTGAATATTACTCTTTGCTATAAGTAGAAGAAGGATTACAGAATACTTCATTTGTTTCATGTCTTTGGTAGCTGGACTTGACAGGTTTTTATTATGTGCTTTACTATCCAATATCTGGTCTAGAAGGTTTGTGCCCATATGTTAAACTGGTTTTACCCACACCACATTTTGTGTGTATACCAAGTCAGGCTATAGGACCATGTGTTGTTCATTGTTTTTTTTCTATGTTCATGATGTTTGCATGTCATTTTTTTCAGAGAAGCTAGGTGCTCGTGTAGTCTGTTGATCTGTAATATTTTTGGTAATGACTATATATCCTGTGGATGTACAATGTATTATGATAGAAAAGGCTACTTATGTATAAATGCCATTACCTGTCTGTGAATTCTGGTGGTGGTATCGTGGCATTTTCTGGAACTTTGATAAACTTCATGCTTTTGAATTGTCTAGATACAGTTAAACCTTTTATTCCAACAATTACTCTAATAAATCCTTCTTTAGTTGTTTCATCACAAGCTGAAAAAGATTAAAAGATTCACTTACAAGGGTAAGATGTGTTCATTTATATAAGTGTAAGTCACCTTTGTTAGATAAATCCCTTTTTTGGTTCGTAGTTATTGAAGAAGGTTTGTTTGAATTTATCTACCACTGTCTATAAAATGTTTGTATCTATTTAAAAATCTGTAGTAACATATATATGAACAATTAATTATAACACAAATCTATGTTTGTATCTATCTAAAAATCTGTAGAAACATATATATGAACAATTAATTATAACACAAATCTTGTGTGGCCAAAAATGTTATTATCTACTGTATTTGTTTTTTAGAATTTATATAATGTCTTCCTCTAACTAATGTACTAAATATCACACAAATTTTTCAATCCTCAACATAAATACATTTACAGTCTGATTAAAACCAGCCCCCACTATCCACTTGCATTTGTAGAAACACCTACAAACGCAAGTGGATAGTGGGGGCTGGTTTTAATCAGACTGATACATTTAAATTTATATTCAAAATTTTTCTTCCACATAAATTGCAATCTCAGGTTGAAGGGTAAAAGAAAATAAATGATAACATTGTAAGAAACATTTGCTGACATACATTGTATTACGCAAAAATATGCATTTATTAAATACATGTAGATTGTAATTTTAATAAATGTGACATGTTTTTTGGCATATTTTATATCAAATATCAAATGTTCTTTTCATATATTTGAATTTCTTGTAAAACATATAACTTGTGTGATACATTTGTAATTTTTAATACAGCAAACTATAAGAGAAACAAGGTTGTTTCTCAACCGTATCATAGCCTTCACACAGATATTTAACTTCAATTTGCAACTTTTAATTTCAAATATTTTACTTTTCATGCTGGGATTAATTCAGATACTTGTGTAAAATTGTTTTAAATCATAAGGAAAAAAAAGCTATAAAAAGAAAGATAACTCAAATTTAAATTGTGTAATTTTTTTTACATTAAACTGGCTACAATTATATGCCAGTTACATGTTCAGTTAATTGTCAGTCTATCTAAGGATTGTACTGTCTTATCGCTTATCATGCACTCATCAGATAGAACTAAATGTACAGCTTTAACTGAATGTTAACTTCTGCATCAAGTTTTTAAGCACTTATTATGAAATTTAAAGCAATTGACAAAAACTTGCACATTATTAAAACAACCAGTTTAATGTGTTACAATTTTTAAGTCATTGCACTGCCAATTTTGATGGTTGTCAAAAATAAATAATAAAATATCAAATTTAGTAGGAACAGTACAGAAAAAATACTAAAACCCTCTATATTATTGATTAGCGGTTTTGTCCCCAACTAAGTACATGCATTCCTTACCTGTAAAAGTGTTTACCTCAGTCATGGAAGTGTACAATGTATGGGTGAAATTAGACATGGTGCTGGTTTTCAGTGATTTTTATTACGGCAATAGTTAGTTTTTAAATTATAACAAGAGTGGTATTTTTCATAGCTCACACATGAACAATAAGGCAAACAAAACAAAATATTTAAAAAAAAAAACAGTCAAAGCCAAATCCCCCCCCCCCCCCCCCCAAACAACAAAAAAGAAAAATTAGTAATATTAATTGTCAAGGGTGAAAAAATTCTATTATTCCATGGAGATTTTGGTCTTCTTTCTTATAAACCATTGCATGTGTTTGTGTTAAGGGGGAGGGGGTAAATCGAAAAATAATTCTATGGGTATATGTACATGTACATGTATGATGTATGTTGACTTGTTGTAGAATCACTATATATCCTGTTAAATGCAACTTGCTACATCATATTCCATCTTTGAAGCAATTTATTCAGATAACTCCGACTTTACAATGTAAATGAAGACTTCTGGATAATTCAAAGAGAGAGACAATGAGTTGATGCCACACCCACAGATGGAATTTGTGTCTGTCCATATTTTTCTTCAAACTACGACAAAAAGGTGGAAATGTATTCATAAAATTTGTAATACTATACTGTACCATATGCTGGAGAAACAGCATTCTGATCTTTTTCAGGGGTTGAATCAGTCATCTCGACTGGTAGAGAAGCAGCTGAGAAAGGTTTGTTTATTTATTTTTTCCGCCGTTCGATTGTCTCCAGACTTTTCTTTATGCCATCTGGTAAAGTTAATGACCCGAAAAGAACAGCATTCAGTAACGTACGTTTTATATCAACATCCCCATAAATAACATAGGTATTTTTTTCCCTAACGAACTAACGTTTGAAATTAAGCATTTTCTTTAATAAAAAAGTTTGATTCGAAATATTTTGAAAGTCAGTTTGTTGTATGTTCTTCCATTAATTGTGGAGCACTACCCATAGGGTATAATTATAGCAACTATACCACAGGCACTTGTTTCTATCCATGGGAAGCCCCACTATCAACGTATATTTACGAGATATACGTTGATAGTGGGGCTTCCCATGGATAGAAACAAGTGCCTGTGAACAATACATCTTCTTCTTCTTCCTGGTACGGGAAAGACTCCGGTGTCGGAGTGTGGAATATCCCGGAACTGTGGCGCTATGTACATGCAAATGGATGTCGAAAATTTTGTTATTATAAAATAAAAATATTTGCCACAGTTCAATTACAATTTAAAATAACATTAGTTGTAGCTTAATGTTAAACATATTCACATTATGTGCAGTGGCTTAAACGAATACACTAATTAATTAGCCAGACTAGAACCTCCAAATGCTAAGGTGGAGACACCACCTTTGAAGGATTCTAGGGAGGGTGACATGCAAATTGTTTCTGGGAGATCGTTCCAGACAGCAATAGTACTTGGGAAAAAAAGATGATTTAAAAAAGTCTTTATTTCTTTATTTGTATATATATGTCGAAATTTATGTAGGCCTCTAGTTCGCCTGTCAGATTGTGTCAGGACGTCATTAGTGACTTCGACCCCCCCCCCCCCCCCCCCCCCCCCCCCCCCCCGATTACTCTTATAAATCAAGACAAGCTTAGCTTTTGTTCTACGGGTTTGCAAGTTTTCCCATTTTAGTTTGTTTAACATACCAGTGACAGCGCCTGGTGATCTACCGTTGTAGTCATTAAAAACATATATTGCTGCCTTACGCTGTATCATCTCAATTTGGTTTATTTGGCTTTGTTTGTACGGATCCCAAACTGGTGAGGAGTACTCGACGGTCGGACGCACAAGTGATGTGTACGTAAGATTTTTAACCTTCCGTGTACAGTTTTTCATGTTTCTACGTAAATATCCTAGTGTTTTATTTGCCTTTGAAGTTATATTATTAATATGGGGCCACAATCAAGATCATTGCTTATTGTAACTCCTAGATACTTGCTGTCTTTGACAGATTCAAGTACATGGTTATGTAATTTATATTGAAATAAATTAGTTTTCTACTTTTTAGAAATTTTTATGACATAGCATTTTTCAGGATTAAATTTCATTTGCCATTCAGATTCCCAATTTTCAAGGCTTGATAGATTTTTTTGGAGTGCTTGAGACTCATTTATATTATTTGATGTTTCATAAAGTAAACAGTCGTCAGCAAAAAGACGAACCTTACAGGAGACATGCTCAGGTAGGTCGTTTATGAATAACAAAAATAAAGTTGGGCCTTATACTGTACCCTGAGGAACACCAGAGTCAACAGCTAATTTGGAAGATTGAACACCGTTAAGCAGGACTTGCTGTTGCCTGTTTGACAAAAAATCTTTTATCCAAAGTAAGTTATTTTCACGTATACCATAATAATTAAGTTTTGTTATTAATCTTTCATGGGGGACCTTATTAAAAGCTTTAGAAAAATCTAAAAGTATTGCATCAACTTGATTACCTTCTGCCAAGTATTTGGCTATGTCCTGGATGCTGATAACAAGTTGTGCTTCACAGGAACGTTTACTCCTAAAACCATGTTGGCAATCATTTAAAATATTATTTAAATCTAAATGTTTTCTAATATTACTTGTTAAGACGTGTTCTAAAACCTTACAACATATAGCCGTTAAAGAAACCGGTCTATAGTTAATTGCGTTATGTTTATCTCCCTTTTTAAAATTTGGCACAACATTTGCCTGTTTCCACTCTTCTGGGATTTTTCCATCATTTATGGATTTTTGAAAAAAGAATACAAGGAAGGGGGATATTTCTTCCGAGAGTTTATCAAGGAAAATAGCAGGGATATTATCAGGCCCACTAGCTTTATGGGGGTTTATATTTTTAAGGAGTTTAATTATGCCATTGATATTAATGGTTATATCTGGCATGGTGGGGTAGGGACTTTTAGGTTTATGTGGCATTGAAGTTTTGTCTTCTTTAGTAAATGCACTTTTAAATTGTTCATTTGAAATATTTGATTGTGTTTGTGGATCACTATAAAGTAATCCATCTTTACCTCTCAAAGGTGAGACTCCTGATGTTTCAGTCTTTTTCCCTTTTATGTATTGCCAAAATGATTTTGGTTTTTCCTCAAGTTGTGGACTTATGATTTCTTTCATATATTTACTTTGGGCTTTCCTAATTTCTCTTTGAGCTGTTGCTTTAAGCTTTTTGTATTTATCTTTGTGGATTTGTTTCCCAGTTTTTTTTAGCTTTATTAAATGCTCGTCTTTGTTTTTTACATAAACTATCAATTTCTTTATTTGACCAGGGATTTGTATATTTAGATTTTGTCATTTTACTTGGTATATTATCATTGATGATTTTTTATTATTCCATTTCTTAAACTTAATCCACCACTGATCTATAGTAAGTTCTAATGTGGTCTGGCTTAGCAGATCATATATAAATGATTTGGTAATATTTTTTATTTTTTCTAAATCTACCTTCTTCCATAAGAAAATTTTATGGGGCATTGCGTAGCTCTTTTAGGCTTACAAATGGCACTAACCAAAACTATGTTGTGATCCGATATACCGGGTATTGATTTAATTTTGGTTATAAGATTTGGTTGGTTGGTACAAAAGATGTCTAAAATATTATCTTTCCTGGTAGGAAAATTTACAAACTGATCCAAACCTAGATTGTTTAATAAATCTAAAAAGATTTCATTCATTTCCTTCGGGTACATTTTGCCCTCTATTGTCATTGATGGCCAATCTATATCAGGAAGATTAAGGTCTCCACTTATCCAGAAGGTTGAATTTTTAAACTTTAATTTTAAATCATTTAATTCTAATAACATCTGTTTAAAATAGTTTATATCAGATTTACTTGGTGGTCTATAAACTGAAACAATTATCAAGGACTTTGAATCTGTTATATCTATTTGTGCTGCAATCAGCTCTACATTTTTACTACAATAAATTTGTTGGCATATAATACCCCTTTTAATAGCTATGAAAACGCCTCCGCCTTCTTTACATTCTCGGTCTCTCCGGAATACATCCTCAAATAGTCAAGAAGGAAATATCTCAGAGGACTTGACATCCTTATTTAGTCAAGTCTCATTCCCAATTATAATATCAGGTTTAGATGATGTTATTAAGTTTTCTATTTGGGCCACTTTGTTTTTGCAGCTTCTAAAATTTATATTTAACACTCTTAGCGAAGTTTGCCTATTTATTTTTTTATTTATTTTTGTCGCTACTGGTTTTGGAGAAGACGTAGCTACTGAATTTCCAATATTATCTGTATTATCATTAAGACTGACCGAAAAAGCTGAACTGTCAGTTACGGATAAACATGAAAATGAGTTTGTTGTTAACACTGAATTTCCTGTTGATAAAAAGGATTGAAAAATTGTTCTGGAATGGTTGTGGGTATCACAATTTGGACATACCCAGAGGGCTGAAGTATTTCCATACTTTTCATACATGGATGAGCTGATGTTTACACACCCTGCATGACACCATTTATCACAGTTATCACAGACTATAGCGTCTTGGTTCCAAGTACACTCCCGTGAGCAGATTGAACATGGGTAGCTAGACTCGTTTAAGTTGTTTGGTCCTGGATTGGTTTCGATCTGATTACTGAGCAATAATTTTAATAGTAAATGCACGTGTCGGGATCTATTAGAGCTTTTAAATATTGGTCTCTTAAAGCTAGACACATGTAACTGCCAGTAATATAATTGAGATGACACACTTATAGACAATTCATTCTGTAAACAGAGATCATTGCCCACATTTTCATACACATGTGGTTTTGAAAAATTTCCTCAGTTCAGCAATATGGTAAATACTGAAAAAATTGATAACAAGACATTATGTAACATTTTGACAAAGTCTCTCTTTCAACATGGATTTTATTTTATGTGAAGAGTTGGTAAGTGACACTCATATACTACATATACACCTTAAAACATAGGGAACATACAAAACCGATGTACAGATAAAGGAATAAGGGCAATATTATTATTAATACAAAGGATAGTCATTACAGTTTTAAAACATAAAATTAATTAATCATAATAGTTATAATATAAAAACATGTGCTGAGGTGTAAGAAAAAGTTTAGTAAGAACTGGATATATTTTCAAATAGAATTTAAAAAGTTTAAACCAGTTTTAAAATTATAATTCTATTGGTTAATTAAAAGGTGCTATTCTTACATCAGAATTTAAAGTAAAAAGAGTTTTTTTTTAATAGGGTGTTATTTAAGTGGGTTAGGGTTTTGAACAGTTCCAATGTATATACTTAAGTTTTCCATCACAATTTACAAATTCCTATTTTGTAGACATCGTCATTAGTCTTTAAAGGTACTTAATATATCTTAAAAACTTTCATGAAGCTAAATTTAAGCCATAACTTATCATAAAGTAGTAAAAAGGTAAAAATAGGGAACTATTTTATTTTAAATTATCATTTATACTGTACTTGATCAAGCTTTTATCCTTTTTGTGCGCAGCATGTGCATCTCATAGCACATATTCTAGCCAAGGTTCTATGTTTTCATACACAGTTGAACAACAGTTTATGTCCTTGCTAGTACAATCCATTATGAGCTGGAGTAGATTCCCTTGTTGTATGATCTTCCTGTATGTTGAAGTATCGATTTCATCCATTTTCTGTTTGATTTTTTAGCAATATTTAGATCTTATTTGCTCCAATTCTGTGCAATGTAGAAAAAAATGTTCTAGAACTTCATTTTCCTGTTCACAGATTGTACATAATGGGTTAACTTTTGGATCGAACTTAGCTCTTTTGGC